TTTTTTTTTTTTTAATATTTTAGTACAGACAAGATCTTGCTATGTTGTCCAGACTGGTCTTGAACTCCCGAGCTCAAGCGATCCTCTTGTCTTGGGCTTCCAAAGTGCTGGGATTGTGGGTGTGAGCCACCGTGCCTGGCCTCTTCTATTTTTTTAATTGTTAAAAGAAGAAAGTAAGGCCAGGCGCAGTGGCTCACACCTGTAATCCCAGCACTTTGGGAGGCTGAGGCAGGAGGATCACCTGAGGTCAGGAGATCGAGACTAGTGTGGCCCACATGGTGAAACCCAGTCTCTACTAAAAATACAAAAAAGTTAGGCAGGCGCGGTAGCGGGCGCCTATAATCCCAGCTACTTGGGAGGTGGAGGCAATGGGAGAATTGCTTGAACCTGGGAGGTGGAGGTTGCAGTGAGCGGAGATTGCCCCACTGCACTCCAGCCTGGGTGACAAGAACAAGACTCCATCTCAAGAAAAAAAAATTAGCAAAAATTCAAATATAGAAGCATACAGAATAAAAACACACCTTAAGTGACATACCTCTTTTCAGAGGTAACCCCTTCAAACACTCTGGATTATATGCCTTCAGGTCTATTGAGATGCACATATACACAGTTAGCATATTGAGTAGCTACAAGATGCCAGGCACATAGTTTTGCTTTCATTATGTTTTTTAATCTAAATGATATCATACTATATATATACACCTCTCTGCAACAAGTTTTCTTCATTTAAAATTAGATTTACTATTAGTGAGCATTTAAGTATTTTTAGTGTAGGAAGCTGATTTTGGATAAGGAAGAAAGGAGAGGAAATATTAAAAAGTACTAGAAATCCTATCATAAAGTTAAAACAAGATCACATTTTAGCCTCCATTTTTAATCTGTACACGTAAAGCTTCAGAATCTATCTTCTACTTAAAAACAAATTCCTACGCAATTTGACTGAACTTAAAAAGAACATTAACAAGCTGTTCAGAGAAATAAAATGTTCACTTTTCAGTCCTATAACTCTTCAAACCCTGTAGTAGTAATTAAGAGTATCTAAGTTTACGAACTTCTACTTGCTTTTTATCTGTTCCTCACAGATCAAGTATGGGTCACATACCCCTTTCACTACCTATATGCCCATCCTGCTGCCTCTAGGACACAAAGTTCCACAGCTAGAGATATCGGACTGGTAAAATAAAGATGGCTTATGATGAGACCTGCTGCCTTCCTAAAATTGCAACCACTGCACCTTTTCTGGAGGCCAGATCAAGTTTCCAGTAGGTATAATATTTCAAACCTCTGTAACTCAGGTATCTGTAAAACGCTATGAGGAATCATGTTCAGCATGTATCTAAATACAAAAAGCAATGTATGCACAAAGATATTCATTAATGTGTTAGTTCCAATTTGAATGCCTAATAAAAAAAGGAGTTAAGGTAAATCTATGCCCGCCCCAGAATTCACTGTCATGTGGCAGTGAATTAAAAATTACATTTCTGAATGGAAATTACAGAAGTGAGAAAAAAGTTCAGGAAGGAGAGTCAAATAAACACAAGGTACAAAATTATGTTAGAATTATATAAAACAAATCCACACCACAAGCTATTCAAAAGGTGGTGGGGGAGGAGAGAGAGAAAAATACACAAAAATGCTGACTCAAGCCTGTTTTAAGTAGGATGAGATTTCTATGTCTACAGTCATTTTTGTAGGATTCAGAGACATGTAATAAATAATGAACCATAGGGTAAGAGGCAGAGGGATAGGTATTATTTCCAAAAAACCAAAACTTTCTATTAACAAGAGTATTTCAAAAATGAAACAAACTTGTTTGGAGAATGAGTAACCATATTAAAGCAGGAACAAAATGCTATTGAGGACAGTATAGTACAGTGAAAAGAGCATAGGCCTGGGATCAGACAGACCTGGATTCTTATCTAGCTTGGCCACTTTTGGGAACTTGCTTATCCTCATTGACCCTAAGTTTCCTGAATTGTGAAGGTAGAGATAATATACCTCAAATACAATATCATTTATGAGGATTCACAGAGGCAATGTGTGAAATGTATGGTGCTTGGCATGTAATAATGAAAGTCATAGTAGATGTTGTAATGGTGGCAATGCTTATTTAAGCATCAGGATACATTTGACTTAATCACCCTAAAATTTCCATCCAAATAAGAGTCCATTAGAAAGCCAGAAGTTAATCTATAAAAACTTTCAAGTAATAAATAGTCCAGGTTTGAAATAATGATATAAAGAGCATATAAGTTCCAAGGACACTTTTCCTATCTAGATGAATAGCAGTTTTATCATCAGCAACCAAAATTAATACAACTACATAGAAGATCAATATGATAGGCACATCTATAGCCATAGTTACAATTCAACTGAGTAAAAGAACATATCCTTTTATTAACATAAAACACTAAAATAAGAACGCTTATAGCATTTTAATGCACATTTATTAATTCAACAAATATTTATTGAGTACCTTTGGTGTACCAGGCACTATATAAAGTATTGATCATCGGCAGTAGCACAAGTATTCTGTAATATCCAGGATACATCATTTAAGGAATTTTTACTTTTCCTAGATCAGTGATTTCATTCAACATGTATTCCGTAAAGCGCCTACTCTACAGAAGAAGACACCATGCTGTAGTAGAAAGAACAAGTGCTCTAGATCAGACAGACCAGAGTGTAAATCCCACTATAGAGCTGGAGGCTGAACAAATGGAAGCTGAACAAATGCTGCATCTAATTTTTAATCCTAACACAACAGTTTTTAGGCTGAACTAGAATTGTAGTTTAAGCAACATTATTATGCAAACATCCAAGTACTGAGTAAAACTGACTTTAGGCAGAATAAACTTATAATAGCAATCATTCACACATATTAGTACCAGCAACTTTGTCCCTGTTATACCTCATTCAGAAAGGCTTTTTTCATTTTTCTTAAATTTTAATTATTTTGTTTTTATTTTTTGAGACAGGGTCTTACTCTGTTACCCAGGCTGGTGTGCCATCATAGCTCACTGGAGTCAAGCAATCCTCCCACCTTGCACCTTCTGAATAGCTAGGACTACAGGTATACACCACCATGACTGGCTAATTTTTGTATATTTTTTGTAGAGATGAGGTCTTGCTATGTTGCCCAGGCTGGTTTCGAATTCCTGGGCTCAAGCAATCCTCCCACCTCAGCCTCCCAAAGTGCTGAGATCACATGTAAAAGCTACTATGCCCAGCCCAGAAAAGCTTTAAGAAGGATTAATACATCAAAAAAGAGGTAGAGGAGTATGGGGCAGGGAAGAAGGGATCTAAATTCCTGTGACTTTTAGCTCATCTCTTGAAGATAATTTTTTCATTAATTTTTTTTTTTTTTTTGAGACGGTCTTACTCTGTCGCCAAGGCTGGAGTGCAGTGGCACCATCTTGGCTCACTGCAACCTCTGCCTCCTGGGTTCAAGCAATTCTTGTGCCTCAGCCTCCCAAGCAGCTGGGATTACAAGTGCACACTACCATGCTAATTTTTGTATTTTTAGTAGAGACGGGGTTTTGACATGTTGGCCACGCTGGTCTCAAACTTCTGACCTCAGGTGATCCACCTGCCTCGGCTTCCCAAAGTGCTGGGATTACAAGCATGAGCCATAGCGCCCAGCCTCATTAAAATTTTTTATATGGCATTCACTTTTATTAAATTATTATTTCACTAAAATTCCAAGATGAGTTTGCTCTCTTTTCATTTTTTTGACCTCTTTAATAATTCTACTTAAAAAATTTAGTGAACTTTATGGTCTAGTAAAGCTTTTAAAAGGTTTTAAGTAAAAGGACAGCTTGTATTTCAGCTGTTCTTATTTTTATGACTGAAATCTGTGATTGCTTTTGTATGTATTACTAGCTGCATCACTGGTAGGACAAGTTTAGCACAGCTAGAAGTCAAGGGCTGGGGCTGAGAGCAGAACCTTCCAATGTGACTCAAAGGGCTTAATGTCTTTTGGATAAGGAAAACAAACTATATAATGCCAAGAGTTACCCGAAAGCTGGAAGGATACCCACTGCGCAGAACTCAGCAAGAATTAAAGAGTTAGGTGATCCAAAGAGTTTTACACTGGATTTTTAAAATTTTAGTCTGAAAAAGTTTACCAGCTCATTTCAAGTTTAAAAGCAGCCACCAAACACGTTAAACATATTAAGTAATTTAGTCATAGATTTTTAAAGCTTGGAGAGATCTAATCTAGTCTAACATTCTTATTCTACAGAAGACAAAGATACAGGGTTTTTAGTGTATCAGGGTACAGTTAACTATGCTGAAGTACATTCTAAGACTAGAGAACAAGGACTTCTGACCACCCAGATAGTAATAACCTCTATACAGCACTTCCTTGGTACTATACAGTATGGCCTTCTGTAAAGAACACTAAACAAGGACTGGGCATGAGTCCTTAATACAGGGTTCACTGGCTAGGTGCTATTGCACACATGATTACCCTCATCTGAACTCTTTACCTGTAATGTGGCTTTATCCATACATGTCAATCTAGTCTTATTCAATAGATGTGTTCCTTAAGTTATATTGTATAAGCTATTTCAGTAAATTTCTCACTGACATAGTAAGATTTCAGAAATATTTTTCATCCATTGCTAGATCTCTTAAATTGGAAATAACAGTTTTGCTGGAAGTTTCTCTTGCTCCAGCCTTGGTCAATGATAATTTAAGGGCCTATAAATAAGCATATCCAGTGAATAAAAAAGTAACTGAAAGGAATTTTAAACTGATTCTGTGAGGCAAATAATTACCCTCTAAACTGCGTCATAGACTTGCAGCACCAATGAGGCATATGAAGATGATTTGCTTAACCTCAGTGAAAGTCTAGAGAGCCTAGCATCACAGTCTGCATTCAGCACCCCAATCTCTGACTGACTTACAATTACCTCTGGATCTCAAGAAAGATTTATTAACTATTTCTATGTCTTATAAGTTGAATATATGTACTCATATGAATTTAATTTGAGGATTACAGACTATCTATTTTAAAAGCCTAAAATGTAATGAAAGGATTCTTACGTTATAACATCAGAATATCAGAATGTATTGAATACTCACAATGTTCCTAACACTGTATAAAGCATTGAAATGGAAGGTGGAGAAGGATGGTGTACAAGAGAGATAACTGTACATGAGGGATTAAATTTGAAACCAATAAACAATTTGAGGACAGTTTAATAAACTATTTTGAGGCCAGGGGCGGTGGCGCATGCCTATACTCCCAGCACTTTACGAGGCTGAGGCGGGTAGATCACCTGAGGTCAGGAGTTCAAGAACAGCCTGGCCAACATGGTGAAACCCCTTCTCCACAAAAACACAAAACTTAACCAGGCATGATGGTGAATGCCTGTAATCCCAGCTACTTGGGAAGCTGAGGCAGGATAATCACTTGAACCAGGGAGGTGGAGGTTGCAGTGAGCCAAGATCGAGTCACTGCACTCCAGCCTGGGTGATAAAGTGAGACTCCATCTCAAAATAAAATGAAATAAAATAAAAATTAAAAAATAAACTATATCGAACAAAGTTCAGCAAGAGTTTAGAAGAAAAGCATTAATTATACCAAAATAGTAGGCTTTAGGAAGGATGTAGGATTTGAATAAAGCCTTGATGAATGAGTAGGATAAACAGCAAGGGTAAGGCATTTGGGCATTTATATAGATGTATATGTAAATAACTGAGAAGGGTACACAGCAGCATGGCTGAAAATGTAATGGGAGGGAAGGGAGATTTGCTTTACTGGACTGGCAGATGAAGGTTATCAAATCAGAGTAAATGACAACTGTAATACACTAATAACATGAATAGCTAACATTTGTTGTGTCTTACTATATGCCAGGCTGTATTCCAGGCAGATGTACAGGGCGATTATATATATATATATATATATATATATATATATATATATATACACACACACACACACACACATACATACATATATATCTCTCACACACACATAACACATATACACATATGGATATATTATACATATGTATTTTATATATATATCCATACATGTATATAGGTATCTCACACACATATATATTGCATATATACATGTATGGATATATACATGTATGTATACATGTGTGCATGTGTATGCATGCACGCATATATAGGTATCATTTTATATATATGCATGCATATATAAGTTATCATTTTAGCATTTAATCCTCATAACAAACCCTACAAAGCAGATGCTGCTACAAGACCCATTTTCCAGATTAAATAACAGAGGCATACAGTGTTATATAACCTTCCTAATATCATAAAGAGAGAACTTCGTGGGATTGGAACACAGGCAATATGACTCTGCTGCCCAAGATCATGGCCTTAAAGATTTTGCCATCTATAAAAATAATGTCACATTGGCAAAATTCTTTCCTAGAATACATCTTGCAGGGTATAGAGTACAATCTCTAAAGTTAATTGAATTCTCTGGGTTTCTCCTTGAAACTTCCGGGAATAACCAGTTGTAGAGGCTCCCAAAGATACGAGGTTTGATTTCAAGACACGTAAGTGACAGAATGATCAAGTTTAGAAAATTTTATTCATTATCTGCACTAGTGGCTGTGCATTAGTCTCCAAATTCAGTACTTAGTACAGGAAGTTCTGCAATTATAATTGGGTTATATCCTAAAACTTTATTTTTAATTTATTTGGAACTTGAAATACATATTCCCATAGAAACAATGCTATAAATGGTGGCTTAGTTTTATACCCACACCCTAAAGACATAATGGAGCTGTATATTAAGCCTAAAAGTGCAGTAGTAGTATTTGTATCAACAGCACTGACAAGACACCAAGAAGCAGTGTGATACAGCAATGCCTATTATACTGAAGCCTCAAAGACAGGGACAAGGCTTAATGGCCTTTGTGTTCCTTGTGCCTAGCACACTCTTCCCACATAGTTGACACTTAATACATGCTTGTCAAGTGAAAGAATTAAAAAAAGAATCCAGAGAATGTACACTGTTTGAATACAAACTCTACCGCTAGTTTAGCTATGCAGGAACTTCTTTACTTCTTTAAGCCCACTTTTCACATCTATAAAATTGGGATAATCATACTTCTCACAGGACTCGTAAATAAATTAGAGATGACAAATGATCCTTTGCCTTTTCAATCTAAGCACAGTACAATTTTTTTTAAATAATGTCATAATTACAGTTTATAGAATTTTATGAAATGATCAAGTTCAACCCACTGCTTTATAGATCAAAAAGCAAACTGAGGCGCTAAGAAGTTAAATGACATGTTCAAAGTCACATTTAGTTTTAGTGGCTGTCAGCATAAGACCTTGGTCTCCTTAGTCCTGGTCTAGGGCTCTTCATACTACTCTTAACTGCAGCCTACACCTATAGCGTCACCTGGCTGGCTGTTTTCTCCTCCGAAACAATTGTGTTATGCTGAAATATAGTCGTTGTTCAAATTTGCAAGGGTTGTCTGCATCTAAATAAAATGGCCTCAGACTGTTATGATTTTGGAGATTGTGCTTTGTTGGCTGGTTAGTATTTTTCTGTCTCCTTACTTGCAAGCCAACAGCTGTCACTTCTAAAAGGTGTGCTGATCTCCTGCGGCCCACCATTTCAATCTCTTCTTGGCTGTGAAATTAGACAAAAACTTATTGAAATTGAATCTACATATTTTTCGAAGACCCAGGGAAATGCTCATAAGAAAGACATCAAGTTTTAATTCCTGAACTTTGTTGACAGGCGATCAAATTTCCTTCCTCTTTTGCATGAGGCCAAGGCCCTGGATAGCTGAGGCTGCCAACCAAGTAACTTACAAATAAGTGAGATGTTTCTGTAGTTCAGTTGCATTATAGTTCTAAGAAATGAACTTATCCACACAGAAAGCAGAAGGAACACAGTGGCTTCTGGAATATTCCTCTCTCCCTCCAGAAGTAGAGGAGGAAAAGTACATTTTGATCCATTCATCCTGAAGAGGCAGCACAGCATCTTCTGACCACCAGAGGGCACTGTGTAAACAGTAAGCACTTCTCAGCTAAAAGTGCTTTACCAGGAAGTCCCTTATTGCACATGGCATTCGTATTCTTAGGGTTCGTTTTGTAGGACTTCTATTTCAAAGTGCTAATTCTGTGGACTTAGATTTTGTCTAGAACACACTTAAAAATGCTCCGCCCCCCCCCCGTCTCAGCTGCCACCACTACATACCAATCACCCAGACTACTTGGGAGCTGCCTAGAATTTCTCCCTCATAATCAACCATTAAGTATTGCCGATTTTCCCATTAACTGTTTCTCAAAACTGCCCATCTATTCCATCCCTACCTTCCCTGCCCACATGAGGCCTCTATTATCACTCCTGAGTTATTAATATAGGCTCCTCAACCAATCCCTCAAATCATTCACTCAGATAATTCTTTTTTCTTCCCAGAGCAATGCTGTTTTGACGATTCATGAAGAAGAAAAATCAGATCACACTATTCTACCATGGTTCCCCTCACATAGCCTCAGGCTAACGTATAAAATCATTATTGAAGCATACAAAGCCCCCATGCCCACCCATCTAGTCTTACATGTTTAGCTACTTCCTGCTTCAATCTTCATGTTCAAGCAACATAAAACTGCCTGTCACCACCTCCACCCTCCTCCACACACACTCAGTATACTTCATGTATTTCTTACCTTCCCTCCAGTTTTACTCATGCCGATTGGTTCTTTGGGTCTGAACCTCCCACTATCATTTAAAAATCAGTTTATCACCTCCTGCAGAAAGCCTCTGTAACACCTTTCTCTCCCACTATGTGAGGTTTTGATCTCACTGTGTATTATCTCCTTATTTTGCACTTATTACACTATATCTTAATAATCAGAACAGCTACATAAAGCAGGCATTAAAGCACAAACTAACTAGACTGCCTGGGTTCAAATTCTGGCTCTGCCGCTTATTAACTGTGTGACCTTGAGTAGGTTGCTTATTCAATTCGTGCTTCAATCTCTCATCTAAGTAAGGATGGTAATCCTTTCTAGCTCTTAGAGTTATTATGAAGTAGTATTTCTCACAGAGTAAATGCTAAGTAAGAACTCACTATAATTATGTAGTAGTCTCCCCCATGAGATTGTGAGCAACTTTAATGTGAGGACTTTGGCTTTCTCATTTCTCTGGAGTATTAAGTATTCAGTAAATGTTACTGAATGAATAACTAGTGAGGCAGCTCTTTCTATGATGATGGGAGGGATTGCCCAGTTTCCTTCTTTGAGCAGATCCTACACATTTTTATAAAAATTGTATTGTTTCCAATTTTGTGGCTCCAGTTTTGTTTAATTCAAACCAAAATCCTGAAAACATCACTCATAATTAAAATTCAGCAAAATGAAACCAGTAAAAAGTATCATAAAATGTACATTCATTCTAAGACACTTAACTCCATTCTTAAGCCTTACTCCATTCTTAAGCCTTAAATCTAAGATTCCCCCCATCCCAAATAACCTAACACAGTAAAAGCCTTGCCATTTCACACATGCTCTTCTTTTGCTTAGAACCTTTCCAATGTTCAACTAACTCTGGGAAGTTTTGTTTGTTTGTTTCCGAGACAGGGTCTGGCTCTGTCGCCCAGGCTGGAGTATAATGGGGCAATTTCAGCTCACTGCAACCTTCGCCTCCCAGGCTCAAGCATTCCTCTCAACTCAGCCTCCCGAATAGCTGGGACTACAGGTATGCGCTACCACACCCAGCTAATTTTTGTATTTTTTTGTAGAGACAGGGTTTCTCCATGTTGGTCAGACTGGTCTCAAAACTCCTAAGACCAAACAATCCACCTGCCGAGGCCTCCCACGGTGCTGGGATTATAAGCAAGAGACACTGTGCCTGGCCTCTTTGGGAAGTTTCTTCTGATCTTAGGGTGAGGCAGATGTCTCTCTTCTGTACTGCCAAAACAGCCTATACATACAACTATATGGTACCAATAATGCATCATCCAAACTGGGATGCCCTATTTATTACCACACTTAAGGCAGGTATTGCAATTACTTGGCTCCTGCTTTATTGTAAGCTCCTTGAGATTAGGGCAGTATCTTAGTCATTACCAAATGTCTGACATTTAGTTGATATTTGATAAATTTTTGAATGAATAAATGTTTAAACAGGTTTTATTTTGCTTATCAATTTTTTGTTTATTTCAATCACGGCAACTTTTATATAGGGGTTGAAAAGTTACAAAGGATTTTCCCATACATTATACAACTGATCTCACAACCACCCTGAGATAGGTATTTTTATTATCCTCATTTTGCAAATGAAGAAACAGGTTCAGTGGTTGACTTCCCTGAAATTGCTTATCTTGTAAGTAGAAGCTGAGACTCTTGATTCAAAGCCCTAAGTTTCAGTTTGTGTAAACCAGACAACACTCTTCTGAATATGACTATTAACTGAAGTGCTCCTTTGGAACATTCTAAGCCTCCCAGAGTCCCCTTGTTCATAAATCTAAAAGCTCTCATCATTCTCTTACTGCCCCATCTTGCAGGGAGAATGTCGTGTCCCTTCCCTAAATCCCCATCCATTTGCTGACTTCCACTGTCCACCAAAGCATGCCCTCTTCTAATACTTCAGATTCAAAGTGGGAATGGAGTTCTTCAGTTATCTCTAATTAGGACTGCATGCATCTCATATAGACAAAAGAAAATCTAGTTGATAATTCTTTAATCTTCAAATTTTATTTTGAAAACAATTTTAAATTCAAAGAGTAGTATAAAAACCACCCAAGTTCCCAACATCCTCAAATAACCAATGTTGTAATTAACATTCTATGTACTATTTTGGGGTTATGTTTTTAGATCATCATCAACTTCTTCACAGTTCATTCTTCTTAAATACATATGGCTAAGAAGTGAGTCTCTGCTGCCCCCTCCCCAATATCAGTCTCTCTCAGGCCACATCTGAAAACAGTGATTGACTTTTCTTTCCTCTAATTTCCTTTCATATGTTCAGCATGCAATCTTTGGTGCTGATCAAGAGGGAGCCCCTTCCCTTATCAGCACAGGGATATACTGACAGTGGTCTTCACAGCAAATATACGTACACCTTCCTAAATTATGAAACTCTCTGTAAAGGTGAGGGTTTGGTTTTGTTTTGATGCTATAAATCAATCCATCAGATGCTAGACAACAACATTAACATGAACAAAGTATGAAAACAAGCCCACCCTCGTACAGTCAGTACTTAATAAGGACAAATCTAAAATAGCAGCCCAGTTATATTTAAACTCTCAGGTCTGTTACTTAATCAAATAATTTTAAATTAGCCCAATGCAAAACACTCCCCTTTCCTCTACCTGGCAATTCTTACCAACCTGAGTAATGTGAACACAGAACATGAGTCCATGAATCACCACAGGCCATCCCCAGGCAGAGTGAGGCACACACAGCAGCATGGCTGTGATCAAATGTTGCTTCTCGTGTTTTAAACAAGGAATTGATTGTACACAGTGATTATCTCTGGAGAGTGGGAGTCAAAATGACTTTCATTCTTGCATTTTATGTACTTCAGTATAGGCTGGATTTTTACAAAGAGCAAGGATTTTATAATAAATTATTTCCATATGGAGAAAAAATAGACATGAGTAACCCTTAATTTGGTTCACATAAGAGTATAAGAAAATAGCGTGAGATACTAGCACAGAAGAAAATGTCAGAAAACATTCTATAGAAACCAAAGTGACCTCTCAAGAAGATGTTTCTCAAATATACCTCAATTTTTTGGGAAGACAACAGATTGCAGCTTAACAAAAATCTATGGGAATTTTTCTGTATTTCTATACCAGATAGTTTCCTCCCCTTTGTACCAGAAGATGAATAGCAAACGCTTAGTGCTCTTCCTGGCTAGAGGGCAAGGCTGAAAGCAGGTACTTCTTTTCTCATGCACATTAGAAAGGGAAATGGTGCTGCAAAGAACATGAGATACTCTTAAAAAGGTCCATGAACTGTATCTTCCCCACAGCCTGGCAAAAGAGGAGAGTGAGTAAACAGTACCAAAATTTAGCAGTGTTAAACTGAAATCAAAGCACAAGGTCAAAAGCAAGTGGCTGTGACTGTGCTCATGCTCTGCCAAAGCCCTGGTTAAACATGGTTTCTCTTTTCTCTGACAATGATACACCAGTCCCTTCCCCACAAAACCCCCAAAAAAGTAGGCCATCATGTTAGGAGTGGGAAGAACAGAAAGGCTTCAGGAAAGACTGCGCTGAGTTATTCAATATCATGAAAATGTGGTATTAATGAAGAAAGCCTGCTCATAAAATGAATGTAAGAGGTTAACTGAAGGCCCTATGGTAGACTTTGTTTATTAATCTTTGGAAAAGCTTTTCACCTCCACTATGCTTCAGTTTCCTGTTTTTTTCTTTTCTTTTCTTTTTTTTTTTTTTTTTTTTTCTCACCCAGGCTGGAGTGCAGTGGCGCCATCTCGGCTCACTGCAACCTTCGCCTCCCGGGTTCAAGCAATTCTCCTGACTGCTTTGTGAGTAGCTGGGATTACAGGCACCCACCACCACGCCCGGCTAATTTTTGTACTTTTAGTAGAGACGGAGTTTCCCAATGTTGGCCGGGCTGGTCTCGAACTCCTGACCTCAGGTGATCCGCCCACCACAGCCTCCCAAAATGCTGGGATTACAGGTGTGAGCCACCGCGCCCGGCCCAGTTTCCTGTTTCTTTAAGAGAAGGAAACCCCTCACTAGCTCCCAAAGTCATCCAGTTCTTATTGCGACTTTATTAGATATCCAGAAAGTGATTCAAAAGCAAAGTTTTGAGGTTCTGAGCAAATGATGGCCAGCCATCATGCAAGCTTCATCTTTTTTGTACTCAATTCTCCCCGTTTCTCCAGGTCATATCTATTTGCACTGACAAAACTTCATAGAGTCTAATTTCTCCATTTCAAAGAAGACTGTGACTTGCTTTGTAAGTTATGAGAACTACACGATGCTTCACCAAATCTGCTCCAGAGTCCCTCCAGCTTTAGCTCAAGACATTGATTCTAGGTTGCCTCAAAAAGCCTCGGACTAGTCCTTGGGTTCGAGTGTCAAAGCTGTTCTTGTGATACATACCGTATGGAAATATACTAACACCAATGAAGAATTGCACGTACCGCCACGCTGAATAATCGATTGAAGAATATTATCACATACATACAAATGTCCCGGAAAACGTCAAGGATTTTCATCAACCTCTTCCTGACGCGCCCAATTTAGAAAATGTCATGTCAACCCTTCAGATCATGTACACGCGTTGCTTAGGTAGAAAGGAAGACTGGGTGGGGTGGCTGAGCTCAGAACCTGCCTACATACTTTAGTAGTAACGACTCCCGTTCTGCATCCAACATTTACCGAACTTCTAGTAAGCGCCCACCACTGCAAGCGAAAGCACTTCCTTCTCAGGAAACATCTTTTCCACTGAAAATTCCCAAACTCAGACCTTCCACTTTTTGCTGAACAAAAAGCGTGTGTGCCAGCGAGAGGGGGTGGGAAAGAGCGTAGCGAGAATGTGCACGGCTCTTACGCCTCCTCCCTCGGAGCGCGCCCAAGTCTGCAGCCTGGGGCTCCGGGACACTTCCCCTCCCACCCGCCGCGGAGCCGCAGCTGTAAGTTGAGAGAAGCGGGCTCTGGGCACGTCAATCAACCGCGTTCTCCCGCCTCCCGTCTACACCTCCCCTCCCCCCTTGAAAAAAATAAAGGCAGAGAAAGAAAGAAAAGAAGGTAACTAATTTGGGAACTAGTCTCCGTAGGGGCTTCGCCTCCGACCCGGGGAGGCCGCAAGCCCGGGACCTGACGCGCCGGCAGCAAGCAGGCGGCCTGGCAGCCGCCCGTCGCCGGATCCTTGCGGCGCGTTCGCCGCGCTCCGGCTCCCCGCACGGGTCGGCGCCGCTCTGCCCCCGCACTCCGCCAGGCCCACGGCCCGTAGCCCTCCGGCCCGGGCCAAAGTTGCGCGAATAGCCCCACAACTGGCAAATACTTACCGGCCGCAGCAGGAACCAGAGCTGCGGAGATTTTAGGGAGTTTAAGGCAAATCAGTCGCGGGAAAGGCGGGCGGAGGCGAAGGGGCCGCGAGCTGCAGTGGCGGCGGCGCGCGGCGCTCGGGCTGGGCTGCGCGGAGAGGCTCTGGCTCTGCCAGGGACTGTGCTGCAACAAAGGACTTCCGCTGCCGCACAGCCGCGCCTGCCGCACCGCACTGAGCCGGCCCCGCTTACGCGGCGACTCCGGGTCTGCCCACCAGTTCGCTGCGGCGTCCGCCAGCCTTCCCCTCCCTCTCGCCCGCCCACCCACTCTGCCGCTGGCTGACTAGGGGCACCCGCGGTCGCCTGTTTGTTGCAACAAGTTTCTGCGTCGGGCTCCTAGGAGGCTGGCGCAACCCGCACCGCGGGGGCCCGTCGAGGCGACGGCGGCTTGACCACCCCTCTCGCCCCTCTCCCAAGGTTAGGCTTGGGACCTCCTGCCCCTCCTCCTGTTTGCACAGCTGGATGGGACTGGGCTCCTCCCGACTCCCCAGGGCAGGATGCGAGGCTGCTTTCCCACTCCGTCCAGATGTCAGACCCCTGCCCTGTTGGGCCCAACAGCTGGGCCGTCCCTCGCAGTCCACCTCGGGTGCTCCGGCAACCTCACCCTGTCCCGTTGGTTCAGGGTCGCCCAGTCCCCGCGCTCCCTCACCCCACCATCCGCGGGCCTGTCCGCCTCTGGCCCTTACTCACTTCCCCCGCCAAGCCCCACCTCGCCTAGCCCGCCTCTCCACCCAGGCTCCCGCGGCTCGCCCTCTCTGGCCCGGCGCCCTCATCCCTTCCCCAGCGAACACGCGGGCGCATCCTTCCCCACCCCCACCTTCACCCCAGAACTGAGGGGGTGCCTGTGCTTTTGCACACCCTGGGGAAACTCCCCGGGTCACGCGGTTGTTTGTGGGGAGCCTGTGACGCTCAGACTTGTCCCTACGCTTCCGCCTACAGAGTCACGACTGCGAACTGTAGCGGCGGCGCTCAAAGCTCAGGCCGACCCCCGCCCGGCCACTCAGTCGGGCGGGAGGGCGCGCACGTATGCACGCACGCACGCACGCACGCCCTGGCCCCAGCGCCCTTCATTCCCCTGTAACCAGGCACGCGATCACGTGGGACCATCGCGGGCTGCTGGCGCGGGAAGCCGCGCGAGAGCGGCCCGCGGGGTGCGTGAGCCAGCGCCACCGCTTGCCGTGCGTGGCGTGGGAGCCCGCCCCTCCTGCACGGAGGAGTCGGCCTGCCGCCGCGGCGGCGTCTGGGTAAGCGACGCGGCCCAGCCCCTGTGGGCTGCCCCGGGTTCAGTCCCTCCCGCCGCGAGCCGCCCAGGGCGGCGGCCTGCAGCTTCACCGGTCGCGGGACAGATGCAAGTAGCTGGGGTGAGGGGTGTTTTTGGTCCGATTGAGATGTCAGGCAGGGCACAGGAGGAAAATAGCACCCGCGAGTGAGCGCAGGGCCGACGGTGCCCAGAGCCACCCTTCGCTGCTCCTCGGAGCAGCCGCCGGGGCCTGATTCTGGGTGGCGCACGGGGTGCCGCGAAGGCGCGGAGCCGTCCCCGCTACGGGTCCAGGTGCGACCCCCAGCAGGGAACCCCCAGTAGGCCTGCGCCGTCTCCCGGCTAGTGCCGACCCCACTTACGAATGGGCGACTTTCCAGATGCTACGAGGACGCTGCGGCTACTGTTCCTACTCCCAGCTTGTGATTACATAGTTTTTAGGGCAAGAAGACTCTCCGCCCTGGCCCTCATAATTGATTTCTTTTTTATCTTCAAATTGTGTTTATCTCGTTTTAAGCAAATCCAGTTTTTCTTTTTGAAACTTGCACCATGTTATCATCGCCTTCTCTAGCACTCATTATTTGGAGTAATCAGGTGTTATCAGTTGCGGAGGCAGCGCATAAGGCAACCTAGTACCTGGAACCCGATAGCACCTAACATGTTTCCACAGTTAGCGCCTGGATCTCCCTAAGGGATTAAATGTAGCATTCTCTCTTGAGACTCAAGTCCTTATGGCTGAGCTGTTGATTCTCTCACAAGATTCTGGCAAGTGGGTAAAGTACGCTTTGGAATCTCAAATTTTAGAGCCGAGAGGTGGTGCCTTATAAAATCTGTTTCATTCCTCTCGTTTTACAGAGAAGACACCAGGCATGAAGAGCGTGATGTGGCTGGAGCTAGCTACATTTCTTGATAGCTAGACTCCAAGACTCCAGACTCCTTGGTGATTGCACTCTCCACCATGCCAGGACTGCAGTGCCAGTTTAACCCACTCACCTGCAGAGAGTGTATCTGCCGGAGATCATTATACTTGGGTTGATTCAGGTCATGGAGAAATCAGGCATGGCCACTATGTGATGGCTCTGGAATAGTGGAGTTGATAGTATTTCTAGGTGAGGTAGGCCGCCTATGGTGTATTTTTGGAGCTAAAAGCCTACACCCCCCCGGGACTCCCCCAAAATTTCATTGCTATTCTCTGCAAAAATAATGATCATTTACAGCCTTGGTTGCTTCCTTTTGTTAAGGCATCAAAGTCTTCTCTAACAATCTGGATATATTTTAGTTAAGGGTGAATCATGAATCCATGATTGGACATCAGCTTCTTAATAAGGAACAGAATACTGATGGGATAGAACAGGAAATAGATTAGTTCTGAGAGCTGGGAATCAGTGAAATATCAAGGTATGGTCGGGAAGAAAGCAGAGAGGGACCACATAACCTGCTACACCGTTTTTGTCCAGACTTCCTTGAATGTCTTATTTGCATGTAGTAGAGATGGATTCTGCCCAAGTTGGGCCGCTGTTTACTTAGTAGTTGCAGTGGGCCAAGTCTAATACTGGCCGATTTCATAGATGAACTTTGTATCTTTACCAAAAAGGAGATGGTACTGTCTTCATGTTACTAGCCTGAAGAAACAGGCTCATTACCTGGCTGTGGTGATGTATACATTTGCAGTAGAATTTAAGATCACTTATCTCTCAAGTCCAGTCAGTGCGCTTTTGCATTATGTCTTGCTCCTGCTTCAGCCAGGAAGGGAATGAGAATCGCCTGTGGCTGATTTATTGGCGCCTGTGGTTGCCCAGAGAGGCCAAGCAGGACTTTCAGCTGCCCTCTATGCCTTACAAAGTGGAGCTGTGAGCTTCCACCCTATCTCCTGAGGGGAATGTGAAGGAGCCAGGCTGTCTAGCTGGGGGGGAGGGGCCCAAGTGCCTTGGCCGTAAAATATCCTGGCCAGGGCTGTGCTGGGAAGTGTTGCATAATGCCCTCCCCACCACTGAACCAAAGTGATTTATTTACTACCGTCCGTAACTGGTGCCTGACCAACTTGTCCATTTTAGCAATAACAGGGTATGGGGGTTTTATATGATTGCAGGTTTTTTCCTTGTTTTAAAAAAGCAGTGCAGGTGCTCTTATCTTGATAAATTATAGTGCTTTCTACACCACTTCCTGTGCCCCTTTTCTGCATATTTATTCCAAATAGCATGTGAACTTCAGTCTTTTAAGAAGAGAAAGCTAAGAAAGTACTCCTTCAGTTTATTAGCACAAGCTATGGAGACAGACCTGGCTTTTTATCTCCACTTTATACCGTTTGCTAATTGTGTGTCCTAAGCCTAGGATTGTTCCTTATTTGTAAAATGGAAATGAAAATAATACATTAGTCATCACAGTGAAGATTGAAAGAGATAATGTATATAGAGCACTTAGCACAAGGCCTTGCATGTAGTATTTATTTATTATAATAATAGGTTTTGAAAATAACCAGAATAGTAGTAGCATCCCTAAGAAAGGAAAGATTTTGCTACTTTAACCTACTTAGGGATAGAGGAGGAAGAAGAAAGTGTATGAAGCAAACATCAGTTTCAGGATTATTGATTAAATTTATTTACACTTCTTCTTTTTTTTTTTTTTTTTCTGAGATAGAGCCTACCTCTGTCACCCAGGCTGGAGTGCAGTGGTGTGATCTCGGCTCACCGTAGCCTCCGCCTCCCATGTTCAAGCTGTTCTCCAGCCTCAGCCTCCCTAGTAGCTGGGATTATAGGTGCCTGCCACCACACCTGGCTACTTTTTGTATTTTTAGTAGAGAGGGGGTTTCACCAAGTTGGCCAGGCTGGTCTTGAACTCCTGACCTCAGGTGATCCACCCTCCTTGGCCTCCCAAAGTGCTGGGATTACAGGCATTTATTTACACTTCTGCTTTCCCTTTGCTAGCAGGAAAAGGAATTTTCTTTCCCATTTTTTTTTTTTTTTTGCCTTAGTTGGAGAAAAAGTTCTTAGAGTATTAAGTCAGTTATTTTTCTAATTCATTTCTTCTCTGTTTACAAATCAGTCATGCGTGGATGTTTTGTTCCTTCTGCAGGCACTTTAAGCAAAGGGTTTTATTAGCCCACTTGAGTAATGTGTTCATGGGAGTATAGTTCTGTTGCAAAAAAAATATTGGTTTACCTGTATCCAGAAGTTTTAGCCACTCTTGTCTGTACTGTGTTCTAGGTCTGTACTAGCATTGTCGTTTTCCAGCTTTTTCCTGTCCTTTGAGTACCTTATTTTTTCTTTCAGAAATTTGGTCTGTCTTTAATGGACTAGGAAGAATCCTTCCTTTTTTTCTCAGAATTCTGATTTTTTTTAAAGGTCTGTTAACAATTTGCCCTTACTGTTGTTAGTATGCTGTGTGCTTGGCTCTATCAGGCATCCTACAGCGTCATGTTGGTTAGATGGGAGTTTGAGATGCTTGGAGGTTGGCTATGTCTGTTAACAGGAAGGAGGCCTCCAAACTAACATTTCCCGGTCCCATTAAAGGTTTCTAGAGCATAACTACTCTTCCTGTTTCATCTACCATGTCCACTTCATACCCTCTCCGCTGATATTCTCAGTAGATCTTAATGAGCAGATGTCTGGAATTACAGCAGAATTTACCTGAAACTGTATTTTCAGATTTGGAATTTCTGTATCATTTTTAGATGTTATGAAATCTAATCTAGTTGTAATGGAGTAAGTAAATATTTCTTTTTCCTAAATACTATTTGAAAAGAAGTCTGAAAATAGTGTATTCCTCCACCTCCCCACCCATGCCCATCCTGCCAGTTTAGGAGCACTTTCGTTTCTTTCTTTATTTTTTTTTTTTGAGACGGAGTTTCACTCTTGTTACCCAGGCTGGAGTGCAATGGCGCAATCTCGGCTCACTGCAACCTCCGCCTCCTGGGTTCAGGCGATTCTCCTGCCTCAGCCTCCCAAGTAACTGGGACTATAGGCGTGCGCCACCATGCCCAGCTAATTTTTCTATTTTTAGTAGAGACAGGGTTTCACCATCTTGACCAGGATGGTCTTGATCTCTTGACTTCGTGATCCACCTGCCTCGGCCTCCCAAAGTGCTGGGATTATATGCATGAGCCACCGCGCCCGGCCTAGGAGCACTTTTGTTTCTTAATCTGGCCAGTATTTTAGTTTAAAGTTAGAATTACAGTTGTTGATATTTGTTCATTTAATGTAGCCCGCATAATTTCCACACTTTGAACACTTATGAAATTGCTTATTTGTAGAGACTAGTATAAAGTTGTTCTATCTTACTTAGTGTGAACTAATGCAGAGTTACTACAATCTAGAAAGTAAAGGAGGTTTTTATAGTCTCTTAAATATCAATGTAATTGTAGTGTGTGAAATACTCTCTGGAGTTTCCTTGGTCCCCTGTTCTTCTGAGGCAGTGGTTCTTAACTGAGGTGTCATGTTAGAATCACCTGGGCAGCTTTTTTAAAAAAGAATCTCTGGGCCAGGCAAAGTGGCTCACCTCTGTAATCCCAGCACTTTGGGAGGCCAAGGCGGGAGGATCATGAGGTCACAAGGTCGAGACCATCCTGGCCAACATGGTAAAACCCCATCTCTCCTAAAAAATACAAAAAGTTAGCTGGGCATGCTGGCACGCACCTGTAGTACCAACTACTCGGTAGGCTGAGGCAGGGGAATCACTTGAACCTGGGAGGTGGAGGTTGCAGTGAGCTAAGATCATGCCACTGCACTCCAGCCTGGTGACAAAGCAAGACTCCATCTCACACACACAAAAAAAAAAGATCCTGTGCCTCACCCCTAGCAATTCTGTTTGGGCTAAGTCCGGGTTGGGACTCAGAGGTCAATATAGTTCTGCATAGACGGTTTACAGTGTAGTCAGCAGTAAGAGCCTCTGTTTCAGGATAAAATGATTTCTACAAACATTCTTTCATTCTCTGGGTAATTAAATGTCACATGTCTACAGTCATGTGAAAGTTCCATTAAAAAGTTAGTT